AAGTACTTTAAAACATATAAATAAGTTACCCGGGCAATTGATTTACATCAGCCAATCAGACGAACTTCTTCCTATGAGTATACATAGGGTCTAAATTACACGCCCCGACTTGATTTCGCATCGTCATTATTATTGTCCTCTTGTCATGTAATTGACAGTTACCATATCGATATGTTATTAACAGATTAATGCAACAATCACGATCAAGCAATGATGCTAAAAAAATGTGATTATCCCGGATCAGCCCGACACGTGAGCGAAGCGAAGAAAAACACGAAAAAAAATGAAAAAAGCGAAAATACAAGAAACTGAGTGTTTAAACCTGTCTTTGGGAAATGAAATTTTACATATAAAAAGTAAATGTTTATTTCTATAGCACTAACTTTAGCGTTCTAACCCTAAACTTTTATTTTCACGAACTTTTATTTTTACGTTGAAGTTATATAAGTCATATTTAAATTTTCGGGTCTTCTTTTAGCAACACTCATATACAAAGCTAGCACCCAACCAATGTACCATCTTAAAGACACACACTAGACGAGATAGAAATGAAATACTACAACATAGTCAATAAGAATGAAACGTGAGTTGTTAATGATTAGTATAAAAATATCAAGTTATAAAATTCCAATTTCTTGTACACAATTAAGCGAGTATTCTATTCGAGTAAGGTTTTTGGTATAATTTACTCTATATCACTTAACCCACCACACCTCTCTTCTTTTTTTCTTCAAAACGGGTGCAATTTTTTTTCTACGCCAAGACACGCTTTCAGTTCTCTTTCTAACTATCTTACTAGCTCCAAAACAATATATAAAAATAATAACTTTTAAACCTTTCTTTGAGTTTTTTGGTGAATTTCTCGTTGGCTTTTAGAACATAAAAAAGACAAAATAAATAAAAACAATATAAAGAATATAAAATAATACAAGGTAATATCATGATATAGTCAACTTTCTCTATGGCAAACATTTTTATTTAATCAACAAGTCGAAAGGCTCTTGAAATTCGTTGTTTTTCAAACTCCAACCAATCAAACTTCCGCTTATAAAAACCTCTACACCTATTTCTTCTTTAACTAAACTAGACTATTGTTTTGAATACGACTTGGTAAAATAATCTCTGATAAAAATATTCCGAATGTTTTTTTGTTAAACAGTTATTTTGTAGTCTATTAAACTGTTAACATATTGCAAGTAAAGTACATGCGTGTAGGGATTGGAACCGTCTAAAATTGCTATAACTGATAATCGTTTAACCGTTTAACGTGTTAATCGTTTAATTTAACCCACATTAAAATAATTCTGGCTCTTTGACTAACATAATTTGGTCCGAAACCATGAACCAATTTTTTACGCGGTTAAACGGCACCAATCCTTAGTGTGCGATCTTTTTTTTTTATACAGTAAACCTTTAAAGTTTTTTATAAATTTACAAATTAGTTACCCGGGCAATCTGCCAATGAGATCTAAGATTGGACCCGGATCCGATCAAAAATAAACGCTCGAAAGTATTATTTTATTTATTAGTTATCGATTATTTTCAGCGTCTTTAATGGAAGAGCTCCTGTAAGCAAAATTGCGAAAATTCAATGCTGTACTGAATTAAATGCTATATCATTGTTCAGGTATTAATGATTATTGATCCGGTACGATTAACAACGTTATGCTCGTTTCAAATCATTAGCCTTTCTATAGATTTCCGTAAATTTCTCTGTTAATTCAATAATACTCTGGGAATTAATTCATTTATCAATGGAGGATATACATATAACTAATAAAAAATCATTCTTTTATAAAAGATTTTTTATTTTCCAAAAACTGGTACATTTCTTGAATTTCGGCGAAAGGTTATTTTCATTGAATGTGAAAAACTCATTTATTGTATACATTTCAAATATAATTATTAGGTTTAATATAATATCTAATATATCAATTTATTTAACATTCGGCTTAGTCGCTATGCCATTCTTAAAATTTCTTAAATTTTTAATTTGAAAATGGAACGTATATTTGGGGTTTGATGATTTCCAAATGAAATAGAAATCCCGGTTTCCAATCCCAAACTATATATAGTGTCGTCGTTCAAAGAAAAGATTTTGGTCGCAACACTAATGCCAACTAATAATAGATATAATTTCGGTTAATCTTTTAAAAAAAGTTGCCAAGATTCGATATAATTACTTTATTGCGACTTCTCCTGTGCAAGTTGTGCGTAATAGGCATCTTTTTTACGGACAGCAGGAATGTGGACTCCATACCAGTAGGCGTAAGAACAAGCAATGCCCAAACCTAAACCAGCGGAGATGTCAAAAATAAGCCTTTTGCGAAGTTTACCCGTAATCGGTGCTAAAACCATGTTTTCAGAAAAAAAGTTTTTCCCACAAATTTTTTTCTCCACATGATTTAAGCAATTTAAACCAATGAAATTTCAAATATCCTGTGCTTATGGATCTACCGGATCTACCAATATTCATGTGAATACTAATACTAACACTGAAAAAATTAAAAATATTAATATGTAGGCAACGATCAAAAATAATAATTATTTGTTCTTGGCAATTTTAAAAAACAACATTTTCCTTTTATAAAAAAATATGCAGCCGTTCAACAAGTACTATCCACCAGATTGGGTCCCAGAAAAGGTAACTTGATTAAATGTGAGGTAAAGTCTCAATCTAGACCGTAGTAATTTTACCTTTGTTTTTAGGGCTCAGTAAATAAATTTGTGGGAAAACACCCGCTTGGAGATAGAGCTCGAAAGATTGGTCAAGGAATTTTAATCGTCAGGTTTGGATCCCTTGAATAAGATTCAAAATATTTATCACGGTTCGATACAATAAATTGGAAAGCTTGTAACTTAAAAAGTTTTGGGCGTTTGATATAACCCCATATCAATATGGTTAAAAACTCTAAGATTCGAACTACCTTTCAACATTTGGTGTGAAGGCTGTGATAAGCATGTCGGAAAGGGTGTGAAACTTCTACCTATTTTATTCTTCCAATTTTAATATTCTTTTATAAAGAGTAACAACTTATCTTCCTTTATTAGGGGTTCGATACAATGCCGAAAAGAAGAAAATTGGAAATTATTATAGTACACCAATATACAGCTTTCGAATGAAATGTCATCTGTGTGATAATTGGATTGAAATTCACACAGATCCAAAGGTCTGTCGACTTTTTATGAATTCGTAACAGTTATATCCCCGCCATCTATGTAACATAACTTTCATGTACTTATTTTAAAGCGAAACATTTATTTTACGCACTGTTTTTGACATTTAAGATTAAAATAGGATAATACTCAATTACATGAAAAAAGTTACATAGATGGGGTTGGATAGGGGATAAATTTGTTTATTAATGAAATATATATTAAATTTTCTCATATAAATATGTCTATAAATATAGAATGCAGAATATGTGGTTGTCAGCGGTGCTCGTCAAAAAATTGAAACATGGGAACCAGAAGATTCCGAAACTATTCAACTAAAAGGTATGACTTTATCGTACTATTAAACTTATTAACTCCTGTATTAAGATTTTTTTTCCGGAATTTAGATGAGGAGGAAGCTAAAAAATTGGCCGACAATGCGTTATATAAACTTGAACATTCTTTTAATGATGAAAGAAAATTTCAAGAGTCTATTCCGATATTGACACAACTTCAGGTAGAAATATCTAGTAAATTTTCTATGTAAGAATAATTAAAAATGTTAATATAATAATGAAAACTTTTTTTTTGTTTGAAGAGATTGAATGAAAGACAATGGGCCGATCCGTACACGCATTCTCAAAAAATGCGAAAAAAATTTAGGGTAATTTTTTCTTTAGTTGTACCAATTTGTTCAAGAATCGATTTAAACATATTCTCCATTGAATCAGGAGGAAAAAAAAGTGCTGGAAGCTAAAAAACGGTTAGATGATGAAATACGCGATCGGAATTCACTATCAATTCCATTGTTGCCTGAATCTTCTGAAGACATTATGGAAGCAAAGTCAACAGAATTTACAGGTATTTTATTGCAATGTAAAATAAAAATAAAATAAACTTCTTTTAAAATTAATTAAACACATTGACTAAATGCCATTTAGACCATCTTCTTGAACAAGCTCAAAAACGCAAGCTTGAAATAAACACCTCCTCAATATTTAATAAACCATTATCAAAAACCAAAAAATCCAGATTTCATGCTAATGGATCAAAAGACAAAGTAGCACAATTATCAAACATTGTTTCCGTGAATACTAAACTTAAAACGGATCCGTTTCTCAAAGATAATGACTGGAATGGTGGTGGTACAGTGATTGGTAAAAGTGGTGAAATCAATAGTGATTTAATTCTCATAAAGAAAAAAGATGTAGGTAGACATAACGGAAATCAAGAGACAGATCAACAAGAAACTGTAAAAAGTCAAGGTATTGTGTGCTTCTAAATTTTAATTTTTGGATACTGATCATATTCTCATAATTTATTCATTTCGTCCAGGTGTTAGTGTACATGCCATATCTTTAGTAAGCGCTGATTATGACGATGAGGATTAAATTTATTATTTAACGATGTAAAGAGTTGCATTCTCTAATTAATGTAATTATTATTAGTTTTGTATTATAATTATTAAATATATATATTAAATATATAATTGAAATTATCACGTATTTATTATAAGAATGAGCTCATTGTAAATAACACTAGTCTCATGAATATAGGAATAATTCTAAGAAGGTGGTGGACCAGGTCTGTAAAAAAGGCTTCCCTACTTTATGACTATCGAAAGCATGTTGGTGGTTAAATAAATTGTCAAATCAAATGATACAAATGAAAATGCAAATGATTTTTCAAACGCAGTTAATACATACAGTTGCCACCATGCACCTTAAAAACATAATGGTTGAATAAATAAAAATGACGCGAGACGGTTGAACAATTTTTTTATATCAACAATTCTTACCAATGAATGGGATAGAAAAACCAGAAGCAAGAAATAGTGTCATTCCCACAATAAGACCGGCTTTATTCTTTGTACTAAAAGGAAGATGCTAATAATAAAATTACATGAATTTTTCATTGCTTTAACAGCTTTGCAAAGAAAAAGTATTTGTGATTATGAAAACGTACCGAGCCATCCTCATTTTCCCAGTGGTAATAACCGCTGCGCATTGGGCGAGCTACGGCTCGGGAACGAACAGCAGAACGAGAAAAAACTGATGAGTACATCGGAATCAGTGAGCAAGACAGCAAAGATTAACGTTAATAAATTTTTATTCCCATGCCAATATATTGGTATTACGATTTTTATCGGACCAATCAACTGCATATTTGTGCGTTAAACTATTTTCGTCAAATTTGATGTTAAAAAATTTTTACTTTTACTAAAAAGCTGGTTGATACGTACATCTCCAATAATCCTTCCCCAAATTCTATTCTAAACCTAATATGGAAAAAAATTTTTAAAAAATATATGATAGTTCCAAACCACCATAGGTGTATTTTATATATTTGAGCAATTTTTTTTAAGTTATTAAACTTATCTTGAAAGTAATTATTTCATAATATTAGATATTTTATAGTACTGTATATACAGTATTTTTTATAAACAATTTTTATTTGTATACTGTATTTCTTAAAATTTTATTAATAAAATTACTATATTTTTAAAAAAATCACCCAAGTAAATTTTTACCTATTTTCTTAAAACATAGCATAATTAAAGTTAAAAATATTGTATATATTATATACAAAATTATGCAAGAAAAAATTTTTTATAAGCAAAATTTTAAAATACAATACATATTATTTTTTTAATCTGTAAATGCTAATTTAAAAAGATTATATTCTGGATAAGAAATAAATTTACTTTTTTAAAAATTCTAATACTATTTATTACAAAATTATTTTGCATGATAAAAAAATTTTAATAACTTTTTACAAATTTTTATTTATCTTTAAATTCTAAATCTAACCTTATTCTAATACAAAAATATAAACCATTAATTCATTAATATATATATACTACAGTGCGTATATATAAATAAACTAAAAAATTTCTTATTTTATATTATACAGTCGACTCTGGATATAACGAACCTTTCTATAACGAATTCTGGATACAGTCGATTCTGGATATAACGAACCTTTCTATAACGAATTCTGGATATAATGAACTCAAAAATTTTGAAATTTCATAATAGTTCGGTATAAAAAGTGGTATGGGTTCTTAAGAAAACATAGTAATTTCCATATAACAAACATTTTTTCTTCCAGAATCTTAGTTCGCTATACGTAGGAAGGGTTGACTGTATATCTATTAATAATTATCTCAATATTATTATACATAATATATATAAAAATACAATACGCAAAACTTTTGTTATTAGAGTTTAGATTTAGATATGCGCCATAGATTGCCTATACCGATTATTTGAATGATCCTAGCATCAACAGTCTCAAAAAATTTCGTTGCCGGCGTTAGGGTTAGAATTTTGGTGTATTTTATATTACACCTTGACTTTAACTTGCGAAATTTTTTAGGTTTGTGACGCTAGGGTGATTAAAATTTGCAAGGAGTTTTTTTTTTTTTTTTAAACATAAAAAATAGTTTCATAAACGATTACAATACAACCTCGACACATCAAAGGAGTTGGGCTATCAATACTAAATTTTCTAAAGTTCATTATCCAAATTTACAAATAATATCGTTATTTCGAGACTAACTTAAAGAACTAGGGATGAACTTCGTTATATATATGCGTTCGTTATATCGAGGTTATACCGTATCAAGTTATGAACGATTTTTTAATTATCGTTATTTACACCTAATCCGATCTGATTAGCTAATCACATTGCGGCGATAATCGCCGCAGGCGATATATAGCAAATCTTTTTTTATTATTAATAAAAATAAAAAAAAAAAAACTTTAAAAATTATATTATCGTTATGATTATCTTAAGTCATGTGGTTATAGGTGCACTGGTGTACAGGCGCACAAAATTACAAAACCCTAAGATTAGAGTATATCGTCCTTGATTGTTATTGGGGACTTATCACAACGGGCACAAAACAAGACCCCATGAACATCCTCACGAACGATATAAAACAACACCATCCCATCAGTCTGAACCAACTAATATACTGACCTGTTTATTAGTTGATTACAACCCATTTTATGTAAAAGGTACAACAAAATATTTACGGTGAAGGTGATATGAGCTTTTGTCAATGGAAGACACTACATTGTTGATTTTGTTTGCAAAAGCGAAAGCATGTATGTCTGATATTTATGGATTTTACTCAATTCCATCCAAATAAACCATTACCAACCATCTTATATTCGTGACCAACAGCTCATATCCTTCCCATTTACATATAAATGGGATTATCCACATAGAATTTGTAAGCAACTTCGGCAACATCTTCTTTAGCCTCACTTTTCTTTTTGCACAATTTTGTTCCAACAAAAGTGCGGCCATTGATAGTTACCATTCCCTTGAATTCGCCAAACATATTTTGAAATTCGAATTCCGGATTCGCCCAATGTTGAGCTTGCGCGAATTCGAATAGCAAACTAATGTATCGCTTATAAATGAACGCCCCTTTGTGCAATAGATTTTTTTTATTTTTTACTTTACGAGGACGTTGAGAAAATTGTGATGGCTGAGGAGGCTGATAGGGTGCTGTGGGCATTGGAAACTGTGTATGTTGGTAAGGCGTCGAAAGCATCTGAGGCTGTTGAAGAGGCTGATAAGGTACCGAAGGCAGTAAAGGTTGTTGAGGAGGTTGAAAGCGTACTGGAGGAATCTGAGGTTGTTGTGGAGGCTGGTAGGAGTTAAAACCAAGGTTTGGAAATACCACTTGTGACGACGATGTTACGCTTGGAGGTCGAAAAGAAGCATGAGCAGTTTGGTGCAAAGCATTTTCAAGTAAAGCACTCGTTGGCGGAGGTCCTAATTCACTGGCATTCGACCAAACAAAACTCGTTGGAGTTTCTTTGTTGTAAGTTTCGGTAGAAGAACCACTTTTATTACCACTTCCTCGAGAATCAAGAGTTGGAAATGTTGATACACCGTTATTTGTGTAATCATAATTACTGCTCATCCCTTGGGAACTAACAGGAGGAAGTGGTGGAATGTTAGTTGTGGTATTGTATGAACCGATACTGACAGCAGTTGTAGTGGCCGGGGGAGTCGTGAGAAATGAGCTTTTTTCATTGTTATCCGAAGTGAACACTTGCGGAACAAATGTTACAGTGCTTGATTGAGTGTCACCAGAAGGGAAATCGAATTTACTTCTTTCAGATCTCATTCTTTCCTCTACTTGACGTTGTTCTTGTTCGCAAAATTCTTGGTAAAGAATATTGAAGGCTTTGTCAGAAATATAATCTTTTGCCTCTTTTTTATTAAAAAAGGCAACTTCTGGAGTAAATAACCGCTTGGCAACAACGCAATCCATATAAACGAATCCCTTCATGTCTGTTCTAGTAGGGTAAACAGGATGACCAAGTTGATGAAACTGACAAAATTCCAGAAGCATAACGCATGGTCTTTTTTCTACATGTGTGTCCAAAAATTTTCTTAGCCACTGAGCAGACTGAGTTACCGTATCAGTCGAATGCAGCATTCTATTGAATTGTCGACTTCCTTTCGACAATTTTGACTGTTTTTTAGGGGCCGAATTAGCTGAAAGCAAAGTCTGACGGACTTGTTGAAAAGTTTTGGACATTTGCTTCTCAAAACTCTCCATGGCAATTGTTGCGACTGCTTCTTTGGCCAGTTGTTTCTTTGGCTTAGGAACCGTTGATTTAAATGTTTGGTCAAAGAAAATCAATGTGCAATAGAAACCACCGCCCTGGGGATCTGGAGTGCAGTCATAATGTGGTGGGTTCGGTGTCTTTAACTTGTGATGCAAGGTATTAAGGAATGTAATCGGATTAATCGATTTATCACTATCGCCATTACCGTTGCCAATATCGGTCGAATTTTGAGTAGCTGTCATGATTTGAGGGTTCTGAGGGTCATATGCATTGTTGTCAGCTAGTTGAGAGCTGGTTTGCTTCAACGCTATTTTACGTACGAGTCGGTTGCTATTGTAGCGCAGTTTCTTTCGATATCCTTGTCTCCTTTTGTCCTTAGGCATGATATACTTTTCAAAAAAATACAGAAACAAACAAGTGACGTTAGCAAAAAAACACATTTTTTCGAAGAAACAAAATTTGTAACCAAAATTTGTAAACAAAATTGAACGCCATCTTAAAAAAGTGCACGACGAATAACTGAGCGCAGTAAAAACATTTAAATGTCTCTTTTGCACTAGAAAAATACTTTACCGAAAATGCTTTCCTTTGAAAATAGGTTTGATTTGGATCTTCGAACTATTGTGTGCAATAAAAGAAAAAATAGTACTTGAGTCAAATTTCTTCCTGAATAAAAAAGAAAAAAAAAAAAATAAGTACGTACGCCCAATTGGCGGTGTTTGGATTCCTTAAGTATCATTGTCCAAGCCGGTTTTGATTGGATAGAATTCAGTGTACCCTGCCGGTTAGGGGTGTGCCATTTATTACGTGAAATCTACCATGATACATGGGGTACCAATTGTTTTGTTTATTGTTTGCACAAAATAACGTCCATGGACGTTATTTCGCGCTAATTAAAATAATTGGCTCTAATAAATACGTAGCATTATTAAAATTAGATGATTTTAAGTATTAGACCCGGATCTTTTCGCATACGTACTAACGCTAAGTTTATACGTAAACGAATTGTTAATGCAAATACTGTATTTATGGCGATTCTTATGATCACCTGACAGAAAAGTCCGAAACTTGATTATAGATTTTTTTTTCGTGCTACATAGCAAATTTTACCACCGAGAATTTGTATTCATGAGAATTTGTATTCACCATGAGAGCTTGCCAGAAATATAAATAATTTTTTTAAATAATATCGCTTCTAAAATTTTACCAACATAAAATAGAAAACTATATTCTATAAAACATAAAATTTTGATAGAGCTGATTATGTTTTCGAAACTTTCTACTAGTATGTTTTTTTTATTATATATAGTCAGATTATTTTTGTACAATAAAATGACAAAAATGATCGACCCCTTCAAGTTAAAAGCGCTTTAGGCACGATACGACGCAAAAGGACCGCATCAGCACCATCGTACGTAATAATTATTTTCATGATAAAAAACCCTGCATACTTATGTATTGAATGTACGTTTTTTTTAGGGAATCTGTATGTCCGCAACAACCGGATAGTGACAATGGACGGAGTAGAAGCGAAGGATTTCAAAGTCCCTATAATTCCTCTTTTATTTTACCAAGTGAAACCTCATCACCAAGTGAAATTTCTGTGGTATGTATGGTTCATAATATTCTCAAATATAATGCATAATAAATATGCCAGTACATTAAATGAAATGTTCCATATATATATATATATGCATTATATATATACATTCCGTAATATGGAGCAAATTTTTACCAGGCCTCTTTAACATAAAATAAGTAATTAATCTTTATTTATTTATTTAGCCAAAAGTTCTTGTTGACTCTGAGGGATATTCGATACCTCCTGAATTTAAGCCATGGGATGGTTTTTCTTCAAATGATGAAAATGATTCAGATGCCCGATCAGATGGTGCACAGAGGTAAATATTCGTTATTCAAAGTCTCCACAAATATCTATATTTATTGACTTAATCAAATTTGTTAATATATATAGTTCGTTGGCCGCCCAGGACAGGGCCATACGTGTCGAGATTAAGCAATCCGTTCCTGAAGCGAGCGATGCAGAAGCTGCTGCTGCAATTTCACATGTAATGACGACACTCAAATCGGTAATATGGAAGTTAGATTATATCGAAAGAATTAATTTGATACTTGCGTAATTAATATTTTGTTTTTATATTAGACTCCAGTCAAACAACGAGCTGTTCGCGGTCGTCGAGAGTAAGTTTAAAGTTTTGCTTTTACAAATTTGTTGATATTTTATTCAAATATTTTAAATTTCTAGCACACCAAAAAGCGCAGTATTTAATTCAGAGAGCATACATGTTGATACATCCACTGTTCCAGAAATTTCTGATAGCATTGTAAAGTCACCATTGGCTTATGAAGCCTCTGATACTGTAAATGATCAAGGTGATAATATCGATTCCAAAATTCAAACGCACATACATGGGTTAAATGCATCTATATTAGAAACTGTTAATATAATATCAAAAGGGGGTGATGTGACAAAGCTTCTAGTGACAGGCGAAATAAGCGTAACGTACAATGATTCGATAATACGTGACAATTCGACGCCGATTCAGATTCGGATAAATAATTTTGACACTCTAGAAAAAGCTGTGCCGAATACGTCTTATCTTTCATCTGCCTCAGAAGTCCCTGGAGTTTATGATCTTAATATTGGACTGTTATCTCTAGCTGGTAGTACACCGGTGGTTGTCATGAAATATCAACTTCATGTCGATCCTCAACATAAAAGCGCCTTCGTGCCACTTCACGTCACTCCAAAATGGAAATGTGAATCAAATCAAACTTCTTTAGTTATTTCTTATGAGGTCAACCCTGAATTCAGACTCTCCGGAACATTGACAGAACTTTCTTTCATAGTGCCTGTTGATGGAGAAGTTAAAACGGTACAATCTAAACCAAGTGGTATATGGAGCGTGGAGAAACAAAGAATGTATTGGCAAGTTAGTAATGCAGATTTGGCCACTCCTTATGAACTAAAAAGAATTTTGGCTCGATTTGAGACATCGCAAACATCTCAGCCGGCACCAACTGCTGTCAAGTTTTTATGTGAAGGACAATTATTAAGTAAAATATCTTTAGAAATTGTACAAAATATTCCAAATGGAAATGGTATCCTTAAACAAAGTGATAATTCAAAATGTGAAAATATATCTAAGTTTCAGAGTATCTTGTATCAAATAGCCAGTGGCAAATTTCTTGCATCTCCATAAATATTCAATATTAGATTTCGCGTGGGTTAAATTCATTTTATTAATTTTGGCATCTACAATTATTAAAATATTTACTTTTATTTTATATGCATCATTTAAGGATATAATCACTTTTTTCGCTCTAAATAATGCAGGATTTGTCACAAATATATTAATTTATAAATTAAATTTTTTTTTTTTTGTGAAATCAATTTTTTTCTCTACTCTGATTACATTTAATTTATGATTATTTAGGATTATGTCAGTAAGGACCACTAAGTTAAGAAAGATAAACAACATGATGCGGAAGTCAAGGAAAATAGCAAAATTTTTCATCACGAAATCCATGTGGGAAGATCTCCAAAATCCCGACTGGAATACATTGGAATCGTGATCTGCTGGGTTGAAATTAACAATTTTTACTAATGAAGTCAGTCTATAAAATACCCAGCTGATAATTTTGTTATTGACGTAGTCAGATGGTTATTGCTTAGTACTTGCCTAAATCTGATGAATTCCGATTCGGAATTTTGGGGATTGTCCTGTAAAATGTGATAGACATGCAGAAAAGATGTGGGATGCCCAATCCTTACCAAGACTCGATTCACGTGTATAAAAAGTGTCAGTATGACGAGAACATCGTATTGTGTTCAAAGTTCTGAAGTGTATAAATAAGTTAAAAGTACATATACTGTCGTAACCTTTATATTTAGAAACTTAGGTCACGTTTTCTTGCGAGAATTCCGCCTTGTCGTTACACAGCTAAATATAGTTTCAATCATTACTTACGATTGGCACCATTCAATCCTCTATTTTAAGCCATGTATAAAGTGTGACAAATAATGTTAAAATATTATTTATACGTGATGCATAATGCACGTGATTTAACCATTTTTCTATCGTTATCGTTATTGAACTTTGGGTAGTGTTCATTGTTGGGCATTTACTAATTTCCCCCAAGTTTCTATTGGCTGCACCAGTTTACATGTCACCTTTTATTAAAATGTGATGCCTTGGGGTTAGCGTTCGTGAGTAACATTATACTAAAATTTTGCAAGGAATTTTTTTTTGTTAGTGCCCAAAAGGCGATTTCTTTAGCAAAATTTTGAAATGTGGCTTTTCGAAAAAAAAACGGTGGAGATTTTCACGTTACACCTTATCTTGCATTCTGATTGGCCAAAATCAGAAACTTGGGGAAATTAGTAAACGCCATTGTTGGTAGCACGGACATCCATCCACCAGAATATGGCGCATTGTGTTGTATAAACATTTTTTGGCTTTATTATTATGTTACGTTTCCGGTTAGGATTCGTGATTGGTAATACAACCGTAAATAAAACACAAATTTAGGGTTAGGGCGTTAACATTACGTAGAAGCTATAGCCATAGACCTATTGTATGCAACAAGGTCGATTTAAACACTAGCGTTTGAGTATTTTCGCTTTTTTCTTATAAGTAAATCCCGTGGTTATAGGTCTTGAAAGTAGGGCCTAAAATTTTTTTTAAATCGTTTAATCGTTTAACCGTTTAATTTGGCCGGCATTAAAATAATTCCAGCTCACGACCAACATAATTCCGCCGGGACTATGGAGCAACTTTTAAACGGTTAAACGGTTCCAATCTCTACTTGAAAGTCATCCCCATGTGTGCAACTCTTAATGATAGATTTTTTTTTCTGTACGTTATTACAGTCAGGGAATATACCGAATTAGGATAACGTAGATCGCTCCTTTTACGGTAACAAAATGTCGATCAGACGATTCTTGACTATTCTACATGTGATCATCAGCTCCGTGCAATTAGCCAATAAAATTGCAAGGCCAAAACGTAACGACCAAGGACGTACGTACAATGCTTTTACTTATAGCAATAAGAAATTTAGATTAATAACTTCATACAACAATATTGTTTTTCCGACTGCATGGGACAAATCATCATTGACATAGATTCAAGTAGATTTAAAGTAAATTATACGGGTAATATGAAAAGGAGAAATCTTGCAGAAACTTATTTAATGTACTACTGTAATCAT